TTAAAATATAATTATAAATTTAAAATATAATTTTTCTTAAAAAATATATTTTTACAAATTTTAAATATAAAATAATTTATTAATTTTAAATATAGTATTTATTTATTTACTTACTTAATTTATTAATAAAATTTAGTTATTTATAATAAATATTTAACAATAAATGTGAGATAATGTTTAAAAAAAAAGTGTGAGAATATAGCATTAATTTTTCACAGCTGAATGTAGCAGCATATGCTCTAATTGATACACACTAATATATCGTCTCATAATCCAAATTCCATCACCGTGTAACAAGGTTTAGTGTCTACACAAAGCTTTAAAAAATACGGGCGAAATCAGAAATGCTAGAAGTTCATATAACTTAAGACTTTGAGCATAACTAATTAGACAACAACAGCCATTAATCTGCATTCTTTCTTGAAGATTTGGCTGTGCTTTTTGGCTGCTCGTGGCATATATATGTGAATTGAATCCCCTTATGATATCTTGTCATATCCACTGTCCATGCATGTTTCCCACACCTTCTAGTGCCAAATGTTGTTGCTGTGTATATATATATATATATATATGTATATAGACAGAACAATTAAAACAGTTAGTTTCATTCGATGGTTCATGAAATTTTCCTGAGGATTATACTAAACATTTCCTTAAAGAACGAATCAACACTCGGAAAGAGATAATATATATAAATAATCAACTAGTACCTAATATAACATCATGGTTAACCTCATGTTAAAAGAGATTACAAATTTGATAATAGAATGATTCTCTCTTTATTTTTCTTCTATTTTTATTTCCTTCATTCTCATCTCCTTCCTGTCTCCAGTGTGTGCTTAAGTTGAGCCGTATATATTTTATATTTATTTTCGTCCGCACATGGTTCAATTAACAAAAAAACAAAAAATTGCAATTATGGAACAGATGAAAGAAACTGTGGCAAATAAGAATTAAGCATTTGGGACTATATATGATAACAAATTGAAATTCATCGTTATACGGGCTTAGAAGATGTGTTTTTAACTTTTTATCAATAATAATGTGTTACATAGAAGTTGCAGACACACGTACGTTGCCACTTACCAGAAGGAAATTCAGTTCCTTATTTTGCTCCTCCAAAATCTTGCCCTGAGCAGCAGCAAAGGAGTTATATAAGAGTCAGTATTTTTTTTATCACGATCGAGAAATGTTAATAATATATATTTTATTATTAACAAAAATTCATAGAAAAAATATGAAAAAAAAAATTATGAGTTCTACTTTATATTTGTTATGGTTTAGTTTAAAACAAATTTCAACTAATACTAAAAATTAAGCGCGTAAGGAAGTTTATAATTGATTATATGATTGCTAATTAACTTATAATAATTTTTATGATCAATGTATATAAAAAGCTCCACACGTACGTTTCTCTTGAACATCCTGTGCACTTCCATCTGTGGCACAAACAAAGAAGGTCTATAAGGTGAAACTTGTTTAACGTTTGCTAACTAAGCTATGATTAGTATATATTAAAAGAAAATTGCCTTTTTCTCGCGGACACCACTGAGTCCATTTTCAAGGGCATCCTCTAGAGCCATCAGTTCCTTGTAATTCAGTGAGGTAATGTCCTCCCCCTTCAAGTGCCTGAAATGTACACTTCATCAGAAATAAGAGATGATATTGATTATATATTATATGGTATATATAGCTAGCTAGAGCAATAGTTAATCAAGGTGCAACAATGTTTATAAATACCTGAGCTCAATTTGCATGCTGTCATTCTCTTTCTTGAGTCTATCAATTTCATTGCTGAGGTTCTGCAGTGAGTTAAACAACATTGTTGTAAATCCGAACATATATTTTGTCCCCCCAAAAGATTTAGACAAAAATGGACGAGAGAAAGCAAATTTTCTCAAATAAATGAACATTATTTGCAGTAGATCTGGCTCTAGCCAAAAGCTGGTTGCAATGTCAGTGTAGTCAAGAGAGAGATCCATCGACCCCTAGGGAGAGACATTTATCACATCTTTGTTCCTAACTCCTACCATTTAGCTTTTGAAACTTTTGCAAAGAAAAGGAAGCAAGTGAATATTGTTTTATAGTCAGATCCATTCATATAGATTATTCTTACTACTACTCTTGCCTTTCTTTGTCAATAAGATGTAAGATAATATATATATAAGATACAAATACAACACTCAGATATATATAGATATAGAGAGGACTAAGAGAACATGTTCCAAATGTAGATCTATTCAGAGAATCATTGGTTCTTGGGACTGAACATACTTTTAGCAAAACAACTATATACGTATGCTGTTTTCTTGGAGGCAAATCAAGCAAATTACAACATGCTTTTTGTTTTTCATTTTTTTTTTCAAAGATGAAAAACCTACCTCATGCTTAGCGTCCCAGAGGGTCTTCCCAGAGGCTCTTTGGTATCTGTCCAGGACGTCAATCAACCTTAACCAACAACATTAAAGATCCAAATTAACCCAGAAAGAAAAAAAAAAGTGAGTTTTGCAGATAAGTGAAAAGAGATGTATATTTTCCTGCACTTGAACTTTTCTTGATGTAACAAAGAAAAATAAAAATTTAGCATAAGAAGTCCTTAATAATTACGTGGTGGAGGGGCTGATGTATTCATGCATCTTTCCAGAAGCACCAAAGATGATAAGGGAAACTTGAGCATCACATAGAACACTAATTTCCTTTGCCTTCTTAAGGATCCCATTCTTCCTCTTTGAGTAGGTAACTTGCCTGTTGCTTGAGTTCTCAATCCTTTTGATCTCAATCTTACCCCTCCCCATATCTCACAACTCACAACCTTTCTCTTCTTTCCTTTTCTTTGTTCTCTCTCTCTCTATGTTTTGTGATTCTTAATTGCAGTGGAATATGGAGAAGTGGGAAGATAAAGAGGGTACATAGCAAGCAAGAAAAGTAATAGCGGAGCATTCCATTATGGGTTTGTGGATGAACAACTTTCTGAGTGGCACAGAAAGGAAGTGGTTGTTTAGGGGTTTGTGACAAAGCCAATTCAACAGCCTTTATTTCATGTTTATTTAACTAGCCTTGTAATTTATCAGTTTTGAACTTGTGATCCATTTTCTTAACCCTTGGTTTCTTCATGAATCTCTCTCTTGCTCATTTAATTGGAATTGTTTCCATATTTTGAAGGGTTTGGATTCATTGCAAGAGTATGTAGATTTTTAGGGTGTGCTACACTATATGCTTAAAACAAGGTTTTGGTGCAGGTTTGACATGATATGTTGGTGTTTGATTAACTTGTATTGCTGTGTGTGGTTAACTTTTTTTAGGGTTTGAATGACGGGTAGTGGTAACTAGTTGTGGGGTTCTCAACCATCAAATCGAAAGGAAGGGATTATTATTCCCATTTGTGTGCAAGAAATGAAAGCTTTTTAAAGTAAGGTGTAAAAGGGCATAGGGGAAAACAATTAAAATGTTCCAACCACAATGGAAAGGAAGAACCTCAAGCTTATCCATCAAATTAATTCATGAATAGGAGTTTGGGCACAACCTAGCATTAGTGATTGCTAATCGGTGAGTGGAACCTCTGATTTGAAAGGTGTGGTTGGTAGAAACTTCAACCCTCAAATCAGTACTAGCTATGGCTGGAAGATTGCATGACATGACAAACTCAAGAGGAAATGGAAGAAGCTATATATTACAACTGCTAAATCTTGCATATATGCTAGCTGATAGAAAGAAATGTTCCTTCAAAACAAAGTCATATATATAGGCATTTTTTAAAATTATATTGTTTGAGTTATGTTTCTCAAACACAATCTATTTAGAATAAATTATATGTAAATATATACTAATAATTTAAAATTATTTATATCGTTACAAATTATATATAATACTTTTATTAACTTTTTATATATAATAGATATACTTTGATTAATTGATAGAATAACTAAGAAGTATTTTAATTGATTGTGATTTGTGAGTGTAAAGACTTTTTAGATTAACATGCATGTATATTCAATCCATTTTTTTTTTCAATATTAAAAAATAAGTCATAATTTTTGGAGGGCCAAAATAATGACAACTCGAACAAGAATTAAACGATCAATTTGACAAAAATCTTGGACAGGTCAAAATCACTGTTAGCTATTTATTTATTTGTTTATTAGAATCAAATTAAATATTAAAAGATTTATAATATTTCATACACCTTATCTAACTAATTGAGTTAGGTTCATTGATAAATAATTTTTTGTTCTAATTTATAGTTTAATGACAATGTGAAAATATATACTATATTAATAAAAAGTTCTTTGTTATTATTAAATTCATTTTTATTGATTATTTGTTTAAAAAATAATTTAAATTAAATTAAAGGAATGTTAAGATCTTTGCAATTTAAAGGTTGGATTGAATTACACTTCTTTATCGTTAAATATTCCAATATTAAACTTTCTGACATGACACGAAATATATATTATATATACTTAAATATACAAATTTAGTTAATATGAAAAAATCTCTTAATGGTAGTCAACAAAACAAGTAATACAATAAACTAGTAAGAAAAAAATACACTTTATACTTTCATTAAAAAAAAAAAAAAAAAAAGACATTTCGTGCTTTTGTGAAAAAATGATATTTTTTATGAAATTTTTTATTGTTTTAATATTTATGACAGTTTTTCATATTTTTTTTAACAATAATAAGTAAATAAATTATGAATAATAAATGAGACAAACTCCTTAATTATGAGTATAAATTATTAGTGTAGATACAATTTTTTCTTTGAAACTTTCCGTCAACAGGTAGTTTTAAATTCATTATTGATTATTGATTACAATAAAAAAAAATTACATGAATAAAAAAACTCATTATTAATTTTAATACTTTAGTATTTTATATATTTATATATATATATATATCCATTAAAATTGATCCCAAAAACTGTAAGAGAAAAAATTTCTTCCCAAAAACCTTATCTTGTCTTTTTTTTTTTTTTGTTAAAAAAAAATAAATTAGAGTAAGACATATAAGATCAGAATTAACCATAAACTCTTTTGAATATTTTTTGGAATTATAGTTAGATTTTAAAATGTTTATTACATCATCTTATTAGGGTAGACCCAAAAATGTTTATATAGTCAGTGATTTGTTTTTTCGTTAGCGAGTTGATAACAAAACTCTAAAACTAATTACCAATAATATTGAAAATCACGGAAAGTGGAAAATCTATCTATGAAAAACTCATAAAATAGATTAAAAAGTACGCAAAATACATACTGTAAAATATTTTTTAAAATAAACTAATAATTTTTATATATGAGTAAAGTGGTCAAATGAGAATCTCAAACGTGTGATTCATCGGTAAGGGTTGATCTATGCTTAAGCAAGGTCAAGGGTTCGAATCCTGCCTTATTAATGGATAGAGTATTAGAGTGCACATTACTAATTTTATTAGCTCGAGTGCTAGAATGAAATTTACCAAAAAAAATTGAACTCAAACAACATATATTAAGTAAATCATTGCTCACTATATCCCATAATAAATATAATGTAAGAAAAAATAACTTTCAAAATTATTGTTATTTTTAATACAAGATTAATTAGGAAATATACTTTTTACTTTAATTTATACAACATTATTTTTGGGTTTATTTATTCTTAATTACTTTTTTTGGAATAGTTTTGTTTTCCTTTATCAATTGTTTTAAAGTTCAAAACAATGTTAATTATTTTTTCTATCAATTATATTCTTGTTTCCTACTTAATTTTTAATTAAGTTATAATCAATATGTATTTATTGTGGAATTAAATTAATGAAAATCAACTACTCATTCACCGATTCTCTCTAGTCATGTTATCTATTCCTAAACCAAATTTAATTCTTTTGAATAAAAAAAAAAAAAGGCTAAACCATTTATACAGGAAATGTATTTTAACCAAGATGGGTGATCCCAGTACATAATGTTTATAGCATCCTATTCAACTATATTGAACGTGAAAGTATAAGATTCATGTTCACCTAGAGTCAAGAAATTCAATCCGATTCTTATCAACAGATGGATCATAGAAGCAACTATTAATTGCAAATGATGCATTTTGATGTGAAAAAAATGATAAAATGGGGATCACGGATATTGAGATCAATAGAAACAAGCATTATAAAAAACACAGCCCTAATAGTAATTTAATACATAGCCCTTTTCTTGTGACCTATTTTTTGTCAAGTTCAATTAAGCATTCCAAGTCAATTTCAGAAAGGTAGCTAGGAAGCTCGTAAAGTTTTGATTTAACAGCATCTAATCTAATCTACATATGCAGGCTAGAAGGCCAGGCATTGTACTCAAAGTTAGTTGACTACTACAGTTGAACATCCACAATATTACCTCAGGATAAAGGAAATGTTCCCTGCTTCATTTCATCTTTTCTCATGATGGTAAGAGCTGCAAACATAGGCAGACCCTAAAATGGAATTCAACTAGGGAGATTCTAGTTATGCCCAAATCAACATCTTAGCCCTTAGGGCCACTGTTACCTTGCATCTTCACTCTTTTGTATTGTTTTCAAATGAAATTATTTGTCAGTACCCGTTGCTGCTTAATTTTTAGAAATTTACCCATTTTTTCATCATTTTTATTGCCAACTAGGTGTTTGATGTTGTGAATTTGAATATGGGAAATTGTTGAAAATGAAGTTGAAGAAGGAAGCTCAGGATAGCCATCGTACATGAGGAAGCAGCACCGAAGAGAGCACTTGTAAGCATGTAATGTGATCACTGGACTAACATAAAAAAAATTAAAGGAAATTTTTTCATTTTAAAAAATTAAATGAATCAAATATAATATAAAAAATGAACAGAAATATTTGATTCCATTACTCGAATAAAATTACTTCATACAAAGAATACTTTATGGAATACACTTTAAGCTGTAAAACATTAATTTATTATTATTGCATACCCATCCTTCCCTTCGTTGACACAAGTGTCGAATTAGCACGGGCTAACATGAATTAGTACAGATGTGAGAGGTAGAATAAATAATATATGTATATAATTTTTTTATATCGTTATTTAATAACAAATTATTATCAATTTGTTGACTTGTATATCAAGTTTGTTGACATCATAACTTTTTAATAGTGATATTACATTAAAAAAAAAAATTATACTCAACCAATATATTAGTAATAGACTGAATAAAAAAAACATTTTGTAACAAATGCTTTATAAACTATTAGTCTTTTAATTTTAGTGAAAATAATTCTCTAACTCTTAAATTTTACTTCTTTTACAAAATAGATATCTTATACTTTAGTCCCATTTCGATTTGTCTTTAAATTTTCTCTCTTTAATTACAAGTAGATTAAAAACCTAATGAGTTAATAAAATTTAAGTCAATGATTGAGTTTTTCTCTGTAATTAATTTAACTTCAACTTCAACTTAATAGAATGAAGTTTTAGGATTAAATATTAAAATAAAAATTTATGATATCAATTTTGAAAACTAAATACAGTTTAGGAGAATTAAAAATCCGTTAGTTTCATCTTTTTCACGAATTTTTGTTTAAACAAAATTACTTTTAAAATAATGTGTTTGCTTAAGGTTTTATAACAGTCAAAAGTTAATTATTTTGGGAAGTTTTAAAAAATACTGTAATTTTAAATAATTTTCAAATGCAATATATATATATATATATATATATATAATTGCAATCAAATAAAAATATTTTGAAGTTTGATCTGTGATTACGTTCATTCATTAGCATATACATGCATCAGTGGAGAAAAAATATATTCTATTCTTCATTCTGTTGGTTTGATCAGAGTTTGGCTTAAAATGGAAGGTAATATATCCAAACAGAAAACGTTGAACTTTAGGCCATAACAGCATATCACTCTCGTAGATCATTGAATTCCAATAGCCGCATCTTTAACAAGTTACAACAAAATATACATATGATCAATAATAAACTTGCGCACAATTAGGAAAAAAAATGTAAGGTTAAGTCTAATTGCCCGTATGCATGTGCCCAAGTTCGATCTCCCTAACATGCTGTGTATGTCCGTGAGGCAATCTCAATATCTTTTAATCACTCAAAACCAATTTGAGATGCTGAAGTCTCTAAGCTTTCTAAGATGTCTCTCCATTTCTTGTCTGCTGTTCTCCCACTCTTGCTTTTCTATCACAGTCGTTGGATCCTCTTTTTCACTCTGCGAATAAGATGGCACATCAGAGGTGCAATGTAAAGAAAAATAACAAATGATTCAGGAAACAAATAGCTACCGCATGTATTATTTTGAAGGAGCTCCCACGATCAGATATAACAAGCAAGTCGCTCTTTCTATCTCTAGTTCTCCCTCCAGGAGCTGTTACCTATAGAAGGCACATTCATGATTAGTTTAAATGTTAACATTACGGACAACTCAAGAAATCTTTTTGAAATACAACCAACAGTCCCACAGTTTTCAGAGTCATTCTTCAAAAATAGTTTACCAGAGATGGAAACTTCATAATATCAAAATTTCTAAATTAAATACAATATAAATAAATTACAGGCTATAAAATTGGAAAAGCCATCTGGAGTTATCATGCGTATTTAAAGTCTGAGAGATCATACAGCAATCAATATATGCAACACAGTCGCATGAAAAAGTACAATATCCATCTCAACTTTCAACATAACTAGAAGCATGCAGAGGTGGAATGGATTTATGATCTCTCATCAATAGTCTGAGACCTAAAGTCTAGGTAGAGATATCCATCTTAGAATATACCAAACTTGATCTCACAAAACTCACCTGAAAAGTGAAAACTTCCCCAACCTTATAAGAACTACATGGATCATATCTCTGGTTGACTTGGCATCTAGATTATGAACAAATGAAAGTGGCCCAACGCCCAACAATAATACCCCGTCACACCTAGGAATAAGACATCAACAACATATACAAATATGACTCACCTAATAACATATTTGTGACAAGCTTAATATCATCTTAGAATTAAAACTTAGGGCTTAACACAACTCTAAAAATCAATTTGTTGGGTGAAAACTACTCAAACGTATAAGGACTACATTAGTTATGGTGCTAATCAATGTGAGATCTCAACACATATATTTATAGACAAGAACCATTCATCTTAGAACTTTCATTGAATCCATAAATTCAATCCGAGCTTTTTATTTCTTTTGAACATCATGTGATGATATTTTCCAGAATTTTAAGATTCTAGGGCTATATGCAAGAGCATTAAACTTGAGCAAAGGTGCACTTCCATGAATTCATGTCTAGCATTAACAAAGAAATTGTTAAGCAATAAAACAATAAGGTAAAATCTAAATTCAAGGCAGAGAAAAATGACTATGAAGCACATGTAGTTGCAACAAACAGAAAAATATATTCCAAAAGCAACTACACAGAGAATTAACAAACAATTATTTACCAAAACTTTGGCTCTGGTAATTGACTTGGTTTTGGAATCAATAATATAAATCTCTTCAAAGTCTAGCACAAACTCAGGATCACCCATCCTCCGATTTTTGTAGTGTTTTGTCAGGTACACCTGTAACAGGAAATAAGTCCAATAAGGGTGACATTTTAACAGGAAAGAACTCAGGAGACCAAAGCAGAGCATCCTTCTGAAGACATTTTTTACTTCTTGCTATAAATTTATAATAAATTTTCCTCTACGATAGTAACTATAGGGGAAGATGTAATAAACAATAACCATCCTTAAGGAGAAGGAGAGGGGGGTGAGGAAACTCCCCACGTAGTCAGAGCCACATTCTGTTTCACAGCTTGTAACAGGTATTTATGCATAAAAGTAGGAATAAATTCTTCACAAAGGCATACAATGAATAAAACGAAGTTGACCAGCCTCATTACTTCATATCTAGTTCAATCATATAATATTCCTAATATGGAACATTCTCAAAATAAAATGCAGCAAGAAACTTGTATATATCTTCCAATGTTTTATCTCAACCAGCAAAATGGAACGTCATCTCCCAAATTAAAAGTGACATACTGACATGTCAAGCACAGCTATTTTAGTTATTCAATACAAATATGTGCAAATTGAGTTCCATCCCTTCTTTCTATATAACCTCACTAAGTCACTCCCTTCAATCATATAATCTTGTCCATTGTTATAATTAGCACAAAAAAGAAGCCAACATATATTGATTTCCATTTTTTCAGTTGAGTGAGAATCATAAAGGAGGACTAGATTCTTAAAACAATTAATCAATCAAAATGCCTAAGAGCCTGTTTGGATACAAGTTAGAAGCGTTTTTGAGAGCTTCTTCAATAAAGATGCTCTCAAAGCACTTCTAACTTGTATCCAAATAGACTTTATGTCCAAGGAAAGATACCTGGCTGGTAATTGATCAAGCTCATGCATATAGCAGCACTAATTCCTCTAATTTCACCCTATATTACCTAGTAGTGAGAAACATTCAAACTCAGGCAAGTAAAGCTCATTGCCTAATTGTATTCCATAAGAGGATTGTTCAGTAATATTTCACAGCTCTAAGGAAATGGATTCAGTGACTTTTGGAGAATCAAAGACACCGTTTTCAACCATTAGATAAATGTTTTTCTTTCAGATTTTTCCAAGTGTCCTAAATTTTACAAAATAAAGGAAATATTTCAACAAAATATAAAATATATGAATTAAAAATGAAAGAGAGTTTTATTTTTCAGGCTTAAATATTTTTTGTCCCTGCAATATATCAGGTTTTTTGTTTTTAGTTCCTACCGTTACTTTTTCACTGTTTATGCATGACATGTCAAACACAAAACGACTAAAATTCACTTGAAATGGTGCCTATTTAACGGACATGTCATGCAAAACCTAAAAAAAAAAATAACAGTAGAGACCAAAATAAATTACAAGAAAAGTTTATAAGAATAAAAAATGAAAAACAGGCATATTACAGGAAAAAAAATATTTAAACCTGAAAAATAAAATTCTTTTTATTTGTAAATTTTATATTTTACTAGAGTGTTTTAATTATTTTGTAACATTTTAGGACACTTGTCAAAAATATAAAAGAGAAACATTGATCTAATCTATACTAATATATAAAAGGGATAACTTTTTCACAAACTACCTTGATCTCCATTTTTTTTTACCATTACCATTAGACCTTTTTATTTTAAAAAATTAAAAAAATATATTTTTTAATCAAATTTAAGAACTTAAAATTAATGGATTAATCACAATACCAATTAAATTAATATACTTTTAACCACTAAGGTTAGCCTAGTGATTGGGTGGGGAAGGATCGGGGTAGTTAGAAGCATGAGGACCTAAGTTCAATCCTCATTGCGATCATCCTTGTAATCTTTCCTATCTTTACCAAAAAAAAAAATTAATATACTTTTATTATTTATTATTTATTTTTATTTTATTTTTAATAGAGACATGTGCCTCGACTGTCCACCAGTACTCCACCAGTGGTTAATAATGAGAAATTCCCGGTGAATTTGATTCTCCAAAATCACAGTGACCTTGATTCTTCAAAGTCACCCAATCCATTTCCCAACTGTAAAGCCCACAATCTCTCAAGCAGCTACGTTCTCTCTTCCTTCAACAAGTATCCACCTTACATCCCCAATTTTCATCAAAATAGTAAGAAGCACAGTAATTAACATGTTACTTACAGCCTCAAATTCAACAAGCTGCCCATACCTTTAGAATCTCCCTCTCAGTTTTATATAGAGGATCTCGAGGCGCATCAATAGGTGGCTCCGTCACGTTGTAGCTTCCATAATCACTCTGCGCGCATCTAATGTACTACACATTTGACCAAAAAGTCAGCATCCATTAAATATATAGTCATGCAAACAAATTGAGCAAAATGAAGTCACGCAAGAACGAAAAACATCTAAAATGATTTTTAATTGGCTTAATAATCAACGAAAAACTAAACTCGTGCAAACAAATGAACCCTACCTTCTGCGGCATTGGAGCGAGAACCTTGGGGATTGAATAAACATCTGTATCCGGAGGAGTAACATACATCTACAAACAAAGATTGAATTCAACGGTGAAGACTGAAGAGTTTGAGCAACAACAAAAGGAAGAGGTAGGGTTAGGAATTAGGATTTAGGAACCTCTCTGAAATCGTAGACGTCGTTGTCGGGGTCGGGGGGCTTGCGGATGAAGAAGTCGCAATCGAGCAATGTGATCTTGTGGAACTCGTCCTCGTTGATTTTGTAGTCGACGACGGTGTCGGAGTCCCAGCCCTGCGTTGAGACGAAGGTGTCGCTCTCGACGACGGCGATGTCGTGGTCGGCGGCGGCGGCGGCGACGAGGGGGTCGTACTCGATGTCGAAGTCCTTCTTGTTGTCGAGGTCCTCCATTTCGTCCTCGTCCATCTCGTAGTGGTCGGGGCCGGCGGCGTCGGCGTCGTCATCGTCGGCGCGGGTTAAGAAAGGGTTGTGGCGAGACCTTGAGGGGGGTCGGAGGAGGAGAAGAGAGGGTTTAGAGAGTGGTTTGAGTCTGAAAGGGAGGAAGGAGGGATTGGGAGAGAGTGGTGGCGATGAGAGGAAGAAGAAGGTGGAGGTAGTGGGAGTCATGGCCATGGGTTTTGAAGGGTTTAGGGGGGAAAAAGAGAAGAGAAGAGAAGAAGATAGAAGGTGGATAAGATCGCGGAATCAATAACTTTTAAGCGGGTAACATTTTGATCAATAACTATATGCTTTTTTTTTTTAATTCAATTTAGTTTTTTATCCTTTGAAAAAATTAATTTAGTTTTATTTTTTTATATTTTGAAAAAGACTCAAAATAGTCTTTGTGGTTACTTCTCTATCATGTCCATTGATTGTTTAGAATGGATAACTACAACAACATAAGATAGTTATAGTTAGTTTTACTTATGGTTAGCTAGGATTCTTATTTTTTGATTTGCTAAATTATAGTATAGATGACTATACATACATTTTTATAACCCTTTTCTACTCACCTTTTGTCTCTCTTTCTGTCGATATTTTTTTCTTCCTAAACTTCAATGATAGGATCTCCAAGTTCTTCGTCTTCTAATGTTAGCTAGATCATGCAAGATCCTTCTAAGAATCCATCTAGCCACCTATATTTGTATTCTAGTGAAAATTCGGGATTGATTCTTGTTTTAAACCCTCCCCCCTCCCATTGAATGGTTCCAATTACCATTCATGAAGTCGTTCAATGAGATGGACTCTTCTTTCAAATAATAAAATCAAATTTATTGATTGTTCCCCTCATGCTCTATTATCTTATGACCCTTCTTTTGATACTTGAGAACGTAGTATTTTGATGGTTTTATCTTGGATTACAAGAAATCTTGTCTCTCAAATTGTACAAAGTGTTTTCAGCATTGATAATATTCGTGAACTATGGCTTGATCTTCATGAATGATTTTTTCAAGGCAATCACTTATGCAACTCCAACCCACTTCAAGAAATTCATTCTATGCATCAAAGCGAATGCTCTATTTCTACTTTCTACATAGATATGAAGATTCTTTGGGAAAAACTTGATTCTTTACAACCCACACCTCCTTACACTTATTCCACACTCTTAACTTGTGCTCTTGCAAACTTCATCAGAAGAACAAGAACAAAGAGTATGTTATATGTTTTCTTAAAGGCTTGAGTGACTCTTATAATTTTGTCAAGACTCAGATTCTTTCCATGGACCCTCTACCATTTATTACCAAAGTTTTCTCCCTTGTTCTCTAACAAGAACGATAAGTGGCTAGTGGATTTTTTATTAAACCAACCACCATAACAACACAATCTACTAATACTTCCATTAGTAGAGGTTTTGGTCGCATTTCTAGTTTTCTCAGTCATGGCAGAGGTAGGGGATATGGTAGAGGCTCGGTTAACTGCACACACTGTGGAGAACTAACCATACCATAGATTCTTGTTATTTGTTACATGGTTTCCCCCCTTTCCTGCTATAGAAGTATAACCTCTAACAATGTGAATCTTGTTACTATTGAGGAATCTTCCTCTAAACCCTCTTTTAAAGAATCTAAATTTATCTAATGGCCCATTTTACAACAAATTTCTGACTAATATAATCAAATTCTTATATTACTTCAAAAGTCTAAAGTTGAATTGTCATCTCACAATACTAATTAGGTGAGTACTACTTCAATCGAGTTGTCTTCTCGCCCACATTCTTCATGTAATTCTACTCTTTATAGCATTTGGATCCTAGATATTGGTGCCATAAATCATGTTTCTCCCACCTTGTCCTTGTTCACCACATATCACCAAACTAAACCCCTTAGTGTCACCCTACCTGATAGTTCCACAATATATGCCCATTATTTGGGTACTAGTATTTTCAACAAAAATCTATATCTCATGAATGTCTGGTGTATCCTTTCCTTCAAAATTAATTTATTATCTATTCACCAACTTACTTCCTTCTTTAAATGTAGTCATATTGCTTCATCTTCTATATGCACCATATAGGACAACAAATCTTTGAGGATGACTAGGCACACTAAAGCCACTAAGGGTCTCTACATATTACATCATGCCCCGCATCCTTCATCAACTCATATGTTACTATTAGCACATCTTGTGCAAATAATTATACTTTGTTTGATCTTTAGCCCTTTTGTTTAGACAATCCATGTTCTAATGTGATTCATACCCTTTCTTCAAAGTTTCCATATATCAAATGTAATAAAGATTTCATTTGTGACATGTCATTTTTCCAAACAACATAGCTTTCCATTCAATCACAGTACTACTAAAACAATAAAACCTTTCGACCTTATCCATATGGATATATGAGGTCCTTTACAAATACCATCAATTCATGGTCACCATTATTTTTTAACTATTGTAGATGATTACTTGTGACACACATGACCTTACCTTATGAAATCAAAAGTTGAGGTGTGAACCCTTATATTTAATTTCCTTGCTTGTGTTAATACACAATATGATTCCAAAGTAAAAGTCATCTGATTTGATAATGGGCTTGAGTTTAACATGCCACAATTGTATCATACCTTTGGCATAATTCACCAAACCTCTTACATCAAAACACTCACACAAAATTCAGTTGTTGAGAGTAAACACCAACGTATTTTAAATGTTATGTGTGCCCTCATATACCAATCTCATATCCCTAAATCTTTTTGGTCATTTGTAGTTTGTCATGTTGTTTTCCTTATCAATTGCGTGCCCTCCTCCCCAACACTTAAGAAAAGATCACCCTTTGAATTCCTTTATAATAATCCCCTAACCTTTTTGGATCTCAAGGTTTTTGGATGCCTTGCTTATGTCTCCATTAAGGATGTTAAAAAAATTCATATATGCAAGTATTTGTGGATAAAATTCGTAATGAGTAGAAAATGGATATTATAAATGGGTACTCACGAAGAATGTGTATGAGTACTTTCTATATTCATATGTTAGTGGGTGTGGGTACGGATATCATAGTATCTGTACCTACAGGTATTCGTACCTGCTGATACTCTATTTATTTTGCAAAATTTTATAACATCTATTTTTTAAAAAAAGTCATCCAGATTAATTATTTAAAACTTTTTTATGTAGATTTTATTTTGCAAATTTTAATAACTTTTGAAAGAAAAAAATTTGTCATCCAATTTAATTATTTAAAACCTCTTTAATGCATATTTTTATTTTGCAAAGTTTTATAATTATTAAAATAAAAAAATTATCATTTAGTTTAATTATTTAAAAAAAGTATGCGGATTTTTTTTATAATAATTACTTGCAAGTATCTATGGATATCTATAGATATTGAAAAATATGCGAGTGTCCACTTAATGAATACTTGCATGGATATATAGACAGGTACGAGACAAATATTTATCCAATAAGAAAGGGTAGTAAGAGACTACTACTCGTACTTGTCCTGTCTCGTAGACATCACTAGCCTCCACCTTTACCCACCTTACCTACAAGATCAAATATAAATCTGATAATAGTATTGAATGTTCTAAAGCTCGACTTGTTGCAAAGGGCTTCACCCAAACAAAAGGAGTTGATTATTTTTGTAACACCATTCAGATTTGATATCTTAGCGGCTCCACTCCATGACACTTCACATGGTGACACTTCACATAACTCGTTGGTCAAAACCCTCTGCGACTAGCCCTTTTTGAGATGTTTGGCCACTTCTAAGATTAAGGATTGACTCCACAAATCAACACAAGACTTTTCAACATGTTTTATTCTCACTTGCATACTTTTGAGAAACTTCCCAAAAGGTCACCCATATCTAAATTATTCCAACCCAAGCACGCTTGCTTAATTATGGAGTTCTTATTTGACGAGTTACCAAAAAATAGCACATCCGAGATATTGTCCGCTTTGGCGCTCGTTGGGCCATCACGATTTTGTCCTTTAAAAGGTGCCTCGGTGGGTTAAGGAGGGAGGGTGTTTATAAACTACTCTTAGCCTCGACTCTTGAGCGATGTGGGACTTATAGGCTTACCGGAACATGTACTTATTGTAAATATTTTATAATAGTATGTGATGTATATAAATCCAACTATATTAACATTATTTCATGGAATTTTCTTTTGTCTTTATTATAAATATTATTAATTTTATAATTGTGTTAAAAAAACATTGTTTAAAAACCAGGCGTTACATTTTAATGGTATCAGAGCAACATTCCATGTGTAACTTGGAGTAATGTGCTAACCATGTCTCTACAATAAACTAATCTATAAAAATTTCAAATGGCAAGGAGAAGAAATATAGAATGGACAGAGTTTGTGCAAGCTATTAAAGACATGGCTACAACCTTGTTATGAAATTAAGGACCAGAAGGGCTGGGTGAATCACAATGATTGGTTAAGTTTAGGAGAAATAAGCCTTCTCATTTTGATGGAGGATATAAACCTGAAAAAAGATGAATTATGGATTAAAGAAATAGAAAAGATATTTTGAGCCATGAATTATCCTGATAACCAAAAAGTAAATTATGGTGTGTTTATGTTAGTAGGAGAAGCTAAATATTGGTAGGATAGTACTAGAAGGTTATTAGAAGGAGGAGGAATAATCATTACATGGAAAGTATTTAGAGCTAAATTTTTTGAAAAATATTTTCCTAATGATTTTAGAAGAGTTAAAGAAATATAATTTATGCAATTAAAACAAGGGAACATGACAGTAGGAGAATATGCTTCTAAGTATGAAGAATTGGGAAAATATTATGCTTTCTTTTATTACCCTGATGAAAGAATGAAGTGTATTAAATTTGAGGATGAACTTAGACCAAAATTGAGAAAAGCAGTAGGAATATTAGAAATTTCTAATTTTCCTACATTAATTCACAAGTGTCATTTTCTGGAAGGTTTTGATCAAAATAAGGATAACAGACCAAAATCTTTTGGTCCTCAATTTAATAAAAAAAATAATGAAGGAAAACCTTATGATTGACTTCAATAGAAATCTTAATCTTCTCAATTTTCAGGAAATTCTAGTAGACCTATGAATAATTAGGTTAAGTGTCTTAACTGTGGACAAAGACATTATGCTAAGGACTATCATCTCAAAAGATTTGTTTGTTCAAATGTGGGAAGCCTGGTCATGTATTCTCTGAGTGTGGACAATCAAAGTCCCATACAAATGCTTCTGGACCCAAACGAAAGCCTACTACGATTGGGAGAGTTTATACAATGATTGG